GGGCGCCTTATTAGGGTTGGCAGGAACCCTTACAGGAGCTAAGGGCCCCTAAACCCTAAACAGCTAAACCCTAAACCGCTAAACCCTGAACCGCTAAACCCTAAACCCTAAACCGCTAAACCCTAAAACGTAAACCGCTAAACCCTAAACCCTTGTTGATTTGTGTCTGTGTGAGCTTGATGAGACTCCTGACAAGATCCTTCGATGAACCCGGCAGACCTTTTCTGGGCCGAGCGCCCCGACAGCTGTAGTGCAGTGAGCAAAACTATCCGAGTGCATGGTCCTTCAGCTGCTCTCTTTTAGCATCTGAGATTTCTTACCTTGCATTCCTATCTCTTCGATTCATTTCCATTCGACATTCTTTTCTACGAGATTCCTTTTGGTGCTGGCCTTAGAGACCACCAGTGTTGGGGACGTGAGATCGTGTCTTCAACACTGGTAGCGGAGCCTCAAGACCAGAGGCCTTTGGATCAAGGATGGCGACCGATCTTGGGATCAATCCCAAGCTTCCCACATGGGACGGAGACTGGCGAACATTCTCCGATTACCGTCTGGCTGCACAGTTAGAGTTTGATGGTCTGAAGGATGAAGATCAGAAGACTCTCGCGCCGCGACTCGCCAGGAATTTGACAGGAAAGGCTTGGGAAGCCTGCTTGGACATCAATCGTGAAGCTTTGAGAAAAGCAGATGGCCTTGATTATCTGTTGAAGTTTCTGAAGCAGAAGCGCGGCAAGCAGCAGGTGGATATGCTCGGAGAAGCTTTTGAGAAGTACTTCCAGTCCAACGAGATTGTCAGACACGATCGGGAGAATCTCAATGATTATGAACAGAGACTGACAGTCTTCACGAGAGACATCGAAAGAGCGCTGTCCGAGATCGACAGCAACGTCAAGGTGCCAACAGAGATCTATGGATGGTTTCTCTTGAACAAGCATTTGAGACTGGACCCATCAGACGTTGCCACCTTGAAGTCGCAGACGGCGAGCTACAAGCTGGTCGATGTCATGACTGCTCTCCGTAAGATGTGGGGCGGTGACAGTTTGACACAGAAAGATCAGGAAAGAAAGCGCGCCGGAAACCGCGCGTACATGGCCGCAGACTTTGACACCGAAGACAATGAAAGTGCCTGGTGGAATGATGCAGAAGATGACGACGGACCAGAACTGGAGGAGGATGAGCTCCCCCAGGAGAGCGAGATCTGGTTTGAAGAGGCTACGCAGGCCTTGTTAGAGCAACCTGCCGATGAACAGGTCCTTGCGAACTTCCAGGAAGCCAAGAAGGCCTTCTACAAGGACGCACGCCGGGCGCTGGATCAATCTCGCACTTCCCGTGGCTACTTTCCGCCAAAAGGAAAAGGAAAAGGAAAGGGCCGAGAGAGTGGCTCAGGAAAGGGCCGTGAGAACGGCTCGGGCCGCTTTGAGTTCCGGGGCAAGTGCATGAGGTGCGGCAAAGTGGGCCATAAGGCACAATCCTGTCCTCAACGCGGTGCAGACCAGCCAGCACGAGGAAAAGGATCAGGCGTGGGATTCGTCGGCTTCGTGTACCGTGCTCAGACGACGGCTTCCGAGACCACACAGAACACACCGACGTGGGCCGTGACCGAGCACGCCGGTGAAGACATGACCAAGGCGATCTTGGACTGCGGAGCATCCGAGTCGATTGTTGGAGCTTTGTCGCTTCAACAGTACACCGATGAGCTCGAGTACCTCGGCTTTGACCCTTCTACCGAGATTGAGTTCAACACTCGATTCAGGAAATCGTTCGTTTTCGGGAACAACGAGACAAGCCTGTCTTTGGGACATGCTTCCGTGCCCGCCGGAGTGCATGGAGTGGAAACAAGCATAGACATGCATGTTGTAGAAGGACAAACTCCGTTCCTGTTGTCCAGTAAGTGGCTTCATGAACAGCGTGCTGTGGTAGACTTTGGCTCATCGCAGGCTCTTTTCCCAAAGATCAGTGATGAGATCATTCAGCTTGAGAGATCAGCGACTCATCACTTGTTGTTGCCGCTGACCGCCTTTGAGGGTCATGACGCAGCACGAAAGCTGACGAAAGTTGATCCGGATCAGGTGTCCCTGCTCCTTGGCCCTCGCGCCCAGCTACCGGTGCACTGCACAGATACAGCTGTCTCACCTGCCGAGTAGGGACAGCACCACCAAGCCAGAGCGCTGGAATCTGACTTGAGTGGACCTCTATCCCACGACCTTAGGGATGTTCCAGCTCCAGTTTTGTTTGAAAGCGAGTCTTGCTATCGTAGTTTAAGTGAGTGTACAGATGTTCCACTTACGACAGAGCAGCAGGAGTTGTTTACGAATAGGGTTCATGAACAAGAGAAGACTATTGCTCAGGCCTTTCATGCCCTGACCCCACAACGTGTTGATCTCTTGGAGGTGTGCTGTCCTTGGGACTCTCCTTTGTCCAAGGCTGTTGAAGAAGCGGGAGGACGTGCTTTCAGAATAGGGTTACATAATGGATATGACCTTTCAACTCGAGCTGGCTTAGCCAAAGCCATTGCGACTCTGAGAAAGCTCCGACCTCGTTACGTTCATGTGTCGCCCCCTTGTCATCCCTGGAGTACCCTCATGAATTCCATAGTGGATCCTGAAGCACAAGCGCGACTTCTTGAGCGTAGGAAAATAGGCAGACGAATCCTCCAGAACTGCTGTAAGCTCATCCAGCTTCAACGACAGGAATTGTCTGGTCAGTCAGGCATTTCTGTGGACAGGCATGCCGGTGGAGAACAGCCGTTACGGGCATCCTCGTGGAAGGAGCCGGCGATGCGTAAGATGGTTCAGATTTGCGGGAATGAGCGCTTTCGGATAGATGGTTGTAGATATGGTTTGAAGTCAAAACATTCCGGGAAAGCCATTCAGAAACCTTGGGGTTGGTTCAGTAGTTGTCCGAACATGACTGCTGTTCTTCAAAGAGTGTGCGATTTTTCCCATGAGCATGCTCAGCCTGACAGCCGCGAGATCGCGGCGACCGCAACATATCCGCTGAAACTTTGTAAAGCCTTCGCCCAGATCCTTATGAGCCCAAAACACCAAGTCCGCGAGATGTTTCAGCAGTTGGATGTGTGCAACAGTAGTGTGTCCCAGACCATCCTTGCCAACGCGAGTTTAGATGTGTCCGAGGCCCACGACCCTGAGCATCACCAGGTAGAAGAACACCAACCACCGGACCCGGAATCCCTGGAAGTCCCTCAACCTAGCGCTGAAAACCCTAGCACGCCCGAACCTGATCAAGTAGAGCCTCAAAACTCAGGCTGGCAGACAACCAAAATCTTGAACAAGCTCAAAACCATCCATGCAAACCTGGGTCATCCTTCCAACAGCGTGTTAACCAAGATGTTGAAGGAAGCTGGTGCCTCAGAGGAAGTGCTGGAAGCTGCTAAGACGTTTTCATGTCCACACTGTGCACGTCGAGGACATGCTGCGCCACACAAAACATCACAGGTACCTCATGCTACCAAGAAATGGGATGTTGTGAGTGTAGATACGTTTTGGTGGCACAGTCCTCACAAGGATTCCAACGGGAATTCCACGGAGCATGTTGTCGGCATCAGTTTCATGGATGAGGCAAGTGATTTTCACACGGCCACCATCATTCGAAGTGGCTTGAAGAAACAAGGATCCATCAATGCCGAGGAATTCCGTGAAGTGTTTGCGCGTGATTGGTTGAAGTTGCTTCCTAAACCCAGTGTCATGAGATTTGATGATGAAGGCGTGTTTCGTAACATCAGTAGCTTGGACTGGTTGGAAGCTCAAGCCATTCGCGTGAGCGTGATTGCGGGTGAGGCCGCATGGCAAGTCGGGAAACACTCTCGGCACCTTGAGGTGCTCAAGGAAAACATGACATTACTCTCGCATGAGCTTGGGAGTGATGTCAAAGCTTCTGAGCTGCTCAGCTTGAGTGTCTCGGCGAAGAATGAGATGCACAGTGTCCAAGGCTATAGTCCGAATCAATGGGTTTTTGGACAGGACCGTGACAGAATACAGTCCTTCTTGCAACATGGACTCCATCTTCCCACTCAGAGCATGCGAGAGAGAGAGAGTTTCGAAGAGAGCTTGGAGAGAGCGAACAAAGCGAGAGAAACTTTCCTTAGAGCCGATAGTAAAAGACGAATTCTTCGAGCCGCTAGAGGCAAGGCACGAAAAGCTGAAATCTTTGAACCTGGCCAGCTCGTTTATTTCTACCGAAAAGGCCGAAATGCCACCAGCAGGAACGAGGCAGGCTGGTATGGACCAGCTCGTGTGCTTGCCATTGAGAAAACCGGGCAAGATGATGTGAATCAGACGCAGGGTTCCATCATTTGGGTGGTGCATGCTACCGTTCTGTATCGCTGTGCACCTGAGCAGTTAAGACATGTTCCGAAAGAGCTTCAGAATACTTTCGAGGCACTTCATGGGCAACATTCTCCTTTGCTTGATGTGCGTAGGGCTGGGAATCAAAATAATTACCGCGACATCAGCCAATCGCTTGAGGATGAGCCTGAGGACTCCGACTTGCATGATGTAGAACCTTCGGCTCCAATTCCAAAGCCTTCACATCGCGTCCTCGGCAAACGATCGCCTCACGATGTCCGGTTCCGCGAAGACGAACACCAAGGAAGCCCTGAAGCAGATGATCACCACCAACAAGGAGAAGCAGCAGGCGAACACGCTGGAGGACGAGCGCCAGCGTGTCCAGGCCATGACTCGCGAGACACTGGGCAAGGAAATGGTCGGCCATGGACAGCACGCGAAGATGACGTGCAAGGACGCCTACGAGAAACAGCCCAAGTACGTGATCTGGTTGATGGACCATCAAGCCGACAACCCCAAGTTCCAGAACATCCTCACCTACGCGGAGAAGGTAACAGCCGCCAAGACCGGGACGAATTCTGGAGACGGGCAGAGCTTGGACGGCTTCGAAGTCGTGAACAACGAAGCCTCAGCCAGCAGCGACGCGTCGACTCTCGACACGCAGACCCTTCACAACATGGTGACGCAGCTGGCAGAGATGACGTTCGGACTCCGCCAACAGATCCAGATCCTCGAAGCGCAGAATCAGGAGCAGCAGACGGCCATCTACCAGAGTCTCTCCAACAGCATGATGCTTCAGGAGAAGTTCGAGGCTTTCAATCATCGCTTGGACGCGCTCGAGAAGATCTACCGAGAGCACCTTCCCTGAGCCGAGCTCGAAGTCGCTCGCCACACCGCCAAATCCCAGGTGACGACGATGAGATTCTCTTTGAAGCCAGTCTCGAATCCGATGATGGTGATGAGGAGGATGTTGTTGGTAATGCTCATGACTTGTCACATGGAGATTTAGGAACTCGTGGTAGTCAAAACTTTCAAACCAAACAGGTTCATCTGGGATGTTTTGAGTGGCAGCGACAAAGCTCCGGATGGTATGAACTCCCGGAACGGCGTCGGGATCTTGGTGTGACACGACGAAAGTCTTGCCATGATGATTTCATGCATGATCCTGCTACGTACTTTGCAAAGGCTGTCGAGGAAAGTCATCAGGTTTTCGAGGCTTCACTGGACATTCAGGCCAGAGATGTGCACAAGGTGAATCAACATGGCCAGACGCAGTGGGTCTTGAACGAAAAACCTAAGAAAAGAGCTGAAGTGCAGTTTCGACGGCTTAGCGAAGAAGACAAGATGCATTTCCTGCATGCTATGAAGAGTGAGGTTGGTTCTTACCTTGAACATGAAGCTGTCGAGATTGCACGTCGGCACGGCATTCCTGCAGAGCGTATCCTTGGCATGCGGTTTGTCTTGACGTGGAAGACCGTCGAAGACGATCACGGTGCGATTGTTGGTCGAAAACCAAAGGCTCGGTTGATCATAAAGGGTTTCCAAGACCCTGATCTCCTTCACCTCAAAAGAGACTCACCGACCTTGGCGACACAAAATCGCAACTTGATCTTGGCATGCGCAGCCCACCATAAGTGGCGGATCTCCATCGGAGACATTAAAACAGCTTTTCTCAACGGTGACAAGACCGAGATTGAGAGAGAGATTTTCGCTGATCCTCCTGAAGAGGTTCGCCAAATGATGGGCATGAAACCTCATGAAGTTTGGCGGATTCTCAAAGCCGTTTACGGCTTACTCCATGCGCCACGCGCATGGGCAGATAAGCTGAGCAAAGAGCTCAAAGCTCAAGGATGGATCCAGTCAAAGCTAGAACCGTGCGTGTTTCGGTTGTATGATTCACGGAAGCAGTTGATCGGTTTGATTGGCACACATGTGGATGATTTAGTGTGTTGTGGATCCGGTGAGCTTTACGAACGAAAGATCAGTGAGCTTCGCGAGAGCTTTCCGTTCGGCTCCTGGCGTGAGGTGTCTCATGAACCTACAAAGTTCTGCGGTTGTGAGATTGTTCAGCATAAAGATTACAGTGTTGAGCTTAATCAAGAAAGATACGCGGAAGGAATCAATGAGATACCCTTGACCAGGGAGCGCCGTGAACAAGAGCAGGATCCTGCCACTGATTCAGAATGCCGCCAACTTCGTGCTGCATTAGGAGCCCTGGCATGGAGGGCAACGCAGACTGCCCCCTGGCTTTGCGCCTCTGTTTCATACCTACAGGGATGTCAGAAGAAGGCTAAGGTTGCTGATCTCATTGACACCAACAAACTGATTAGGACCCAAAGGCAATACAGTCAGATGACCCTGAAGTTCACTTCCAATTTGCAAAACCCCATTCTTGTGACCTTTCATGATGCTTCTTGGGCGTGTCGGAGAGACGGTTCTTCCCAGGGTGGTGTTTTGACCTTGCTGGCTGATAGGTGCATCCTCGACGGTAAGCCTAGTGCATACTCTGTGTTGGCCTGGCAGAGCAGAAAACTTCCAAGGGTGTGTCGTAGTTCCACTTCCGCTGAGGTCCAGATGGGCAGTCATGCCATCGATACTCACGAGTTTGTCAAACAAATCCTCATGGAATGGTACAACAAAGAAACCATACCTGCCCAGAAGATGGATGAAGTTCTTAGTCGAACCCAATCGTTACTTGTTACTGACAGCAAGAATGTTTACGACTCTGTCATTCGCATAGAATCCAGCGGACTTCAACTCGAGGAGCGGAGGCTGGCACTTGAAGTTCTCTCCATTCGAGAACGTGTCAAACTAGCAGGTGTGGACTGTCGCTGGGTCGATGGAGGTCAGCAGTTGGCTGACGGTTTGTCTAAGCCCTTTACGATAGACTCCTTGATCACTTCCCTGAACCGGGGTACTCTGAGCATTGTCTTCGATGATAAGTTTGTTTCGGCGAAGCGAAAGAAGGCCCTGCAACGCTCTGCAGTAAGGAACGTGCAAGACTCGCAAACGGGAGTCTCATCAAAAGAAAACTTGGATCGGTGTTGATTTGTGTCTGTGTGAGCTTGATGAGACTCCTGACAAGATCCTTCGATGAACCCGGCAGACCTTTTCTGGGCCGAGCGCCCCGACAGCTGTAGTGCAGTGAGCAAAACTATCCGAGTGCATGGTCCTTCAGCTGCTCTCTTTTAGCATCTGAGATTTCTTACCTTGCATTCCTATCTCTTCGATTCATTTCCATTCGACATTCTTTTCTACGAGATTCCTTTTGGTGCTGGCCTTAGAGACCACCAGTGTTGGGGACGTGAGATCGTGTCTTCAACAACCCTAAACCCCTAAACCCTAAACCGCTAAACCCTAAAACTCGCAAAAGAGAGCTAAGGGCAGCCAAAGATCTTCAACGCAAGAAAGAAGTGGCGGGCCCC